CATCTTGTTGATCATCCCATGTTTTCCATGTCACTTAGCTTGCGCTTACGAAGCTCGAATCGCTATGGGCCGCTCTTGAAGCCTCCCATCGGACTATGCCTGTAATGGGAATCGTCCAACTGTATATACAGCGGGGTGTTTGTCGACTGCCGTTGTCCGTAGCAGCGTGGTCGCCGGTCCAACAGTGTTGTGTGGCTTGTTATGTACATTATGGTTGAAGCCCTCGCACTGTCCTTTCCGTCATGAGTGTCTTGCCCGAAACCAAACAGCTATTCAAGTGCGATCATGTTAGTGACTGAAGCACGCACTTTCATGGTCATCCTGTGGCCTGCCCCTTGTTGGGGGTGCCGGCAAATGTTCTGCGCCGGCAACAATTTCATTTGTAGGTGATCTTCCTGGAGCATGGGTGGTTCAACGAGTACGAAATCACGCGAAACATTTACAACAGCCTTCTGGAGCCCGAACAAGGGGGGGGGCACTTCGCGGTGTGGGGTCGAGGCCATTTTCAGGTACATCACGAATCCTGAAGGTTCGGGGTTGCCACTTTGTCCCGGAGGTCCCGTTCTAAACTTGAGCTGTTTCGGCGGTCTTGCTCGTAGACTTCTTGAGAGTGGACTGGTTGAATGCCAATACTATGGCGGGCAATAACAACCGTTCTTCGCTTTGGGGTGGAGTGGGGGAGGGGTTCTCGTGGAGGAGTGAAATGCATTCTCAAAAGATGGTATCTGTAGTTGGGCGNTCCCGTTCTAAACTTGAGCTGTTTCGGCGGTCTTGCTCGTAGACTTCTTGAGAGTGGACTGGTTGAATGCCAATACTATGGCGGGCAATAACAACCGTTCTTCGCTTTGGGGTGGAGTGGGGGAGGGGTTCTCGTGGAGGAGTGAAATGCATTCTCAAAAGATGCTATCTGTAGTTGGGCGTGAAGTATTGGCACCTGGCATATGTGGGGAAAACATGTGGAGGCAGTCCACTTCAATTCTTTCGTTCAGGGGCCCACAGCTTATCGTGTGTTGTTTGTCTGTGCTCGTATTGTTTCTTGTGTGCAGGATGCGACCCCGTTCCCTCCGGTGGACAGCCTCCACTCCCAGGGAAACTCCTTTTTGTGTTCCAACCCCATCTGCAAGGCCATCAACAGAGATCTCAGCGAGGGAGTCGAGGCAACCGTCGCCGCACAGGTTTTGATACAATTCTCGACTCTTCGTTCCCTACCCCCTTAACCTCCTCTGCCCCTTTCCTCCGTCTATTTTGTCAGGTTTGGTGCCTTCGTATATCCCGGAAACTGGTTTTGCTACGCCGTTCGTGCGGTGCGCTCTTCCTGTGTTTCCGCGATCTAACGCCCTCACTCCATGTCCTATGGCTACAAAACTCTTCAGGACCGTTTTGCAGCGGCATCAAGCGCCGCTGGGCCGCAGCCGGTGATCAACATGGTCACCGGGGAAGGCTTTCTCAACTTTGACTCGGAGGCCGGGGTGAACGTTTCGGTGAGATTTGACTGCCCGCCAGGGTGTTCCGCAGGTAGCAGTTTTCCCTGTTGAATGAATTCGTTGTGCATCGCGGCGCAAAAATTTCGTNAATGTCTCGACTCTTCGTTCCCTACCCCCTTAACCTCCTCTGCCCCTTTTCTCCGTCTATTTTGTCAGGTTTGGTGCCTTCGTATATCCCGGAAACTGGTTTTGCTACGCCGTTCGTGCGGTGCGCTCTTCCTGTGTTTCCGCGATCTAACGCCCTCACTCCATGTCCTATGGCTACAAAACTCTTCAGGACCGTTTTGCAGCGGCATCAAGCGCCGCTGGGCCGCAGCCGGTGATCAACATGGTCACCGGGGAAGGCTTTCTCAACTTTGACTCGGAGGCCGGGGTGAACGTTTCGGTGAGATTTGACTGCCCGCCAGGGTGTTTCCGCAGGTAGCAGTTTTCCCTGTTGAATGAATTCGTTGTGCATCGCGGCGCAAAAATTTCGTTCGGTGCAACCCAGCCCGCAGGATGTTTTTTATCCTGGTTCGGGAAGTAGGGCAGCCCTGTCGTTATTTACCATGTTCCGTTTCTGTCGCGGCCTCATCTTTAATTTTCCATGTACGATCGTGGAACACTGGCGGTGCTGATATGCCCTTGTCGTTCGCGCGTGGAATTCTCTGTTTCCAGAACGCCTCCCCCAAGCCGTCCCTGCCGGGCTTTGGCTCCAGCTCCAGCTCCGGTACGGGGACGAGCCAAGCGTCGCAGGGATCACCACAACCGCCCGCGTCGATGTCTTCGTCGTTTTCAGTCGCGCAACAGCATCCTCAAGCGATGTTGATAACTCCCGCTGCCGCCACGACTCCCGCCGCCCTACACAAGGTGTGCGGCGCCTCCTTCCGCTCCGCTTGACCATGGTCTTGGATGAATGGACACGTGTGGACAAAGAATGGAAGACCCCGATGACTATTCACGGGACATTATCCACTACTGTCTACCCTTCAGCAGCACCCATCCGGAACCGAAATANGTCGTTATTTACCATGTTCCGTTTCTGTCGCGGCCTCATCTTTAATTTTTCATGTACGATCGTGGAACACTGGCGTTGCTGATATGCCCTTGTCGTTCGCGCGTGGAATTCTCTGTTTCCAGAACGCCTCCCCCAAGCCGTCCCTGCCGGGCTTTGGCTCCAGCTCCAGCTCCGGTACGGGGACGAGCCAAGCGTCGCAGGGATCACCACAACCGCCCGCGTCGATGTCTTCGTCGTTTTCAGTCGCGCAGCAGCATCCTCAAGCGATGTTGATAACTCCCGCCGCCGCCACGACTCCCGCCGCTCTACACAAGGTGTGCGGCGCCTCCTTCCGCCCCGCTTGACGATGGTCTTGGATGAATGGACACGTGTGGACAAAGAATGGAAGACCCCGATGACTATTCAAGGGACATTATCCACTACTGTCTACCCTTCAGCAGCACCCATCCGTAACCGAAACACTGTGCTCCTATGCATTCCAACATTATATTCTTTGCTAGAGATTCAAATGCACCTGAGGACGATCGTAATCATATCATTTAAGAGCAGGCCTCAGGGTTTTGTATTGTCCTGCTGTCCCTTTTTCATGCATCCACATCCCTGCGGCGGCAGGGGGCTGTTCCGACGAGAGCGGCGATGTCGGCGATATCGGAGGCCGACGCCGGCAAGAAGCGGGTGTTGTCAGATCGCACCGCCTACGTCCCCTCTGCCGGGGTCCCAGGGGTTGGGGCTAGTGCGGGAGGGGGTTTGAGTTGCTCGGGGTCTGTTCGAGAAAGTGAAGGCGGCGTGTCTCCGGCGATGGGCCAGGTTCGTTTCCTGACCTACGTTGATCTGTGTCATGCTGAAGTTCCTTACGGAGCTATGGCAAGAGTCCAAGTCACCCAGCCAGAGTCGCTCCTACTGGTGCGGCACTGTGTGGCACAANCTCCAGCTCCGGTACGGGGACGAGCCAAGCGTCGCAGGGATCACCACAATCGCCCGCGTCAATGTCTTCGTCGTTTTCAGTCGCGCAGCAGCATCTCAAGCGATGTTGATAACTCCCGCCGCCGCCACGACTCCCGCCGCTCTACACAAGGTGTGTGGCGCCTCTTTCCGCCCCGCTTGACGATGGTCTTGGATGAATGGACACGTGTGGACAAAGAATGGAAGACCCCGATGACTATTCAAGGGACATTATCCACNATTACGCGACTACCACAAATTGGAACCGCCTGTGGCCCCACGGAGAGCGGCACGGACTTTCATGTACCCCCATCTATGTTCCAAGAACGTTCCCCAGAGGTTTCCCCCCTTCCACCCACCCGCCGTCCTGTGACCAGGCGAACGCACCAGCGAATGCTTCAGGAAGCTCGAGCTCTGTGACGCCAAGGACACGGTGATCCTGAAGCGTAGCTTTGGATGATGCCTGATGACGTCGTGTTTCGACCTTGGACAGTGACCCCGTCTTGTGGATGGACATGCCGCAGAAGGAAGGTTGAAGCATGTGTTGCGACCCCCTTAGGGAAATCGATGGGCTCACCTTTTTTGGTGTCTAGGCTGTTACGGACCCTGCGATCATAGATGTCGTTTGCGCNATGTCTAGGCTGTTGCGGACCCTGCTATCATAGATGTCGTTTGCGCTTTGCGCGGCGGCTAGATCCACTTTGGTGTGGTTGTCATTAGGACGGCGAAAAGTACGGCAGGATCTGGTCGTCGTCGAAAGTACGCACGGTTGGTGCTGCTTAAGACAACCAGCAGCATTGGCGAAGGATTGTTGTATTTTTTGGCGCAGGCGATCGTTTGAAAAATTGAGGTTTTGAGCTTCATTTTGTTCTGTCTCTCCATCTGTACCGTGAGCGAGCCGTCATTGCCGGAAGGGTGACGGAGACTTGTGAAAGCGTCTCTGCCTGCTTTATCTTCATGACCACGTGTATGCCTGATTTTGTCTTCCTCCCCTAAACTTCCACTTGAATAGTACTGTAGTCTAGCCTTCATCGTGTTCTCACTGTTCGGTGTATCTCACCGCCAATCGTGTGTCCGTGTTTGGTCTCTACGTAGACCGCGGGGGGGCGGGGGAGTGGGCGCTACTCTCCGGTTACAACCCCTTTTCATGTCCCACCTCCGTACGGCCGTGAGCGCGGGCTATAGCCTGATCCCCTTCCAACATGATTTCGTTATTTGGTGGACGTGTTCTGCCGTTGCAGCAGATGTCTCGATTCATTGTGATTGCAATGGTACATGAGAAGCAGGCTACGGTAACCGTACGGAGTACAATGATTCGGTGGCTTTCCGTGTGTTGTCAACCAAAGTGACAATGTATTGGTTTGGGTCAGGGTCGGTACTTCGAGAACCAGGTGAATCTCTGGAGTCGGGCAGGTGCCGTGTTCTGCTTGGGTGTTTCGTGTTTCGTGCTCGCTCGGTTCTCTGTCTCCACCCACTCCCGGAGAAGAGAGGCACGGATGGATGCGGCCCACGACCGCTCCCCTGGTCTCCACCTACCTCGGTATGAATCATACATTGATTGTTGGACACGCACCCTATGGCCGCTGTTCCCGCCGGTGCTGCCGATGAAAATAGCATTGAAGTATGTTCCTGGTACTCTCATCGTTTATTTGTGACCCTGGTGGACTTTGCTCGCGAATAAAACGAGAGTCAAGCACCGTAGGGGATGTGAAGAAAGAACACAAAAGGGAAACTCCAGTGCAACCCCCGGATTCTGCTTCAAACACATACTGGCCGACGCACACTTTTTGCCCACAGCATGTGGGACGAAAACAAACGACAAGAATAAGAGTTTGCCTCTGGGAGTCCTCTCTATCTTGTGTATGTGCACTGCAGCGGCATGGTCGCAAGCGATAGTTGTGACATGGGCTCGTAGTGTATCGTACGGCACCGCCGCTGTTGTTCGCCCCGAAACGCGAGAGGTAGAACTGTCTTTGGTGTACAATAGACTTGCAAAACAACCGAGGAACATGAGTCGTTTTGGCGCATTTTCTCCGACCATGGGGAGGAGGCGCAAGATAGGTTCTTCATACATCCACTGGAAAATGATGAACGTGTCCTCGGCGTGCAAGCGTTCGTCCCCCCTGGAACCTAAAAGCGCGTAGGATATCAGGTATGCCCCCCCCATCAACTCACACGGATAAGTCACTCAGTCTTGATCTTGTGACACCGCTGAAACAGGACAAGAATTGAGATGAACGACTGTTGTCGGAACCTCGACTGTGTCAACCCGTCACCCCTACACATGTGGAGCCCATGCGCCACGAACAACCGTGGCACAGCGCGAGAGGACCCTACGCCGAGCGTTCTTTCAACGTGGCGCCGGTCCAAAGACGTTGTCATTTGAAAGTATACAGGGGAATATATTTTTCTTAGCAAACGAAAGCACAATGCAACGCGGAGCACATCGGCATCCACACCCAAACAAACGTGCGCAGCAGCTATAGCGTGGATGACAAAAGGGCACAATCGAGAATGTATCGCCTACTAACACTCGAAAGAAGGATGGCTGGCAAGAGGCGAAGAAACGAACCTCAGCACCCCGGATGCAAGCCAGTCAACCGCCAAAGAAAAAAGCAGTTGTCGAAAACGCGCATTACCCCCGGCGTTGTTCGCTCGCTCGGCAAAACGTTTGCAAATGGAGGATACGCAACCTAGACGACAGTGTACTCTTGTGCCACAGAATCATGTGTTTAGTTTTCAATGCTAGCATCGTTAAGTTAGAAGTCGCTTGTGACCTTGCCCNCTCGCTCGGCAAAACGTTTGCAAATGGAGGATACGCAACCTAGACGACAGTGTACTCTTGTGGCACAGAATCATGTGTTCAGTTTTCAGTGCTAGCATCGTTAAGTTAGAAGTCGCTTGTGACATTGCCCATCATGATGGCACAGAGAGTCCGACAACATTGAAAAAAACGCCGGCATTTTCTGCCGTGGGTACTTGCGGATATTGAAACGAGCAAAGACTACATAGATAAATGCCCTCCCANTCGCCGACATTTTTTGCCGTGGGTACCTCCGGATATTGAAACGAGCAAAGACTACATAGACAAATGCCCTCCCAAGATACTGATCGCAGATGCGCTGGAACTCCCCCCCCATCACACCAAGGGAAAGGCACCATTCTTGTGCATGACGGTGGTCAGCGACGCCACCTGACCGCACGACACCGGGGGGGAAACGAAGGCACCATGGAGGCGGCCGACCGACAGCATGCACGTTTGTTTATGCCATAAACCAAGCAAACATTTTCTCCACCTTCTTCGACAAGCACACCGAAAGACCCGTCGACAGCGTGCACTGGAAGCAGACAACCAAGACATGTAACCACGTTCATAGGAACCCTTCCGAAGTCATGACGCGAAAACCGGATGAGGTGATTGTTGGTAACGAAACGAGGAAACTTCATTCGCAGGTTTCCGCTCAATCAACGAAAGGAAACCAAGGGCAGGGGGACTAGCGGCTAAGAATGAACAAAAGCAATGTACGAAAATAGCTGAAAAAAAATACACCTCATTTCTCTCATGCTGCTGGCACGTTTGAGCGGAAGCAGACCGGAACAAGGGCAATGTTGACCGTGCCAAGCTTGCGAACAAAATATACGGCAACATCAAGCCTGGCCATCACTCCTAGGCTACCCACGTTACACGTCGAGGGAAACGCGCGAGCACACAAAACAAGCTCGTCTTTGAAACGAAAAAACAGAACAGGACAGAATACAAGCACAAACAAGACGAGCACGGACAGAAGATGCTCAAGGCAACTCTAACCGAAATGTTAGTTGCCACGTCAAAGTTCTGAAACACATCTCATCGACACACACAAGAATTTGGAGAGCACAGTTACTGAAAACCATCCCCATGCAAAAACAGCGGTCAGAGCGGCGCGGGGGAAACCCTCTGTTGGCGGAAGCCATGTAAGAAGCAATAGAGCCTGCGCCGAAGGTGGACGAAGATTGTCAACCCTCTCATTCGCTGACCCTGGCGCCCCCGACTTTCCAGAGTTCGTGGGCAAACAGTTTAAAAACACGAACCGTTCCCTCGGCGGAAATTTATCAACAACACAAAGCAATAACTCTGGTCATTTTCCCTGCCATCTACCTTATCCCCAAGCACACGAGCAACCGCTTCCANCCATTTCGCCTGCCATCTACCTTCTCCCCAAGCACGTGAGCTACCGCTTCCAAACGCCATTCGGTACTCACGAACCCACATTCGTGGGCGCGCATGGAAAACGTGCCGTCCGGTCCACAATGTCCAAGGAGGAAAGTGCAAGGGGACAACAATCGGAGACCACAATCATCCAACCTTCGGCCTTCTTGCTTTGCTCAAGGTGCTGGTATTCAGTGGCCAGGGTCGCTTGTTCAACCAGACCGGGAGTGCCAATACACGCCGCAACCCGGGAGCAGCCGTTGGACGTCCTCCTTGGTCCCTATTTGCACGACGACACAATTGAAACGTACGAAGTATGTCGGTAGGTGTCAGTGGAGTGAATCACGTTCATTCATACCTCAGCCTTCAGTCATCAGNTTCCAAGGAGGAAAGTGCAAGGGGGGCAACACCCTGAGACCAGAATCATCCACCCTTCGGCCTTCTTGCTTTGCTCAAGGTGCTGGTATTCAGTGGCCAGGGTCGCTTGTTCAACGAGACTCGGAGTGCCAATACACCCTGCAACCCGGGAGCAGCCGTTTGACGTCCTCCTTGGTCGCTACATGCACGGCGACACCATTGAAACGTACGAAGTATGTCGGTAGGTGTCAGTGGAGTGAATCACGTTCATTCATACCTCAGCCTTCAGTCATCAGACTGAGAAACGTACGAATACTCACAGAACAAACTTCCACGTAGGATTCTGGAAATGGTGTTGTCAGGCTCGCTATTGCTTCATCGTCAGATGTCCGTGTGACCCAGTACAGTGCTCCGAATAAACCCGCCACCAATAGGGTCACACCGGGTAATGTCGGACAAAGGCGTTCGCGTAGACGGTAGGGTCGACATGTGCAGATGACGTCGTTTNAGATACGTACGAGAACTCACAGAACAAACTTCCAAGTAGGATTCTGGAGACAGGGTTGTCAGTCAGGCTCGCTATTGCTTCATCGTCAGATGTCCATGTAACCCAGTAC